TCAGTAAAACTGCAAGTGCTTTACCAGGAAAAGGCATACTGTTTGGACTTGGTTGCCTTGTAGACAACTAAAAACGTTTGCTAAGTCATTTGCAACTTGCACTGATGCAGTTAGCAATGTAGTGACACTTACTGTTGCTTGCAGTAACATTTGAAAAGCCCTTGTGTAAGGTTTATCCTCAGGTACATTTCTGACTCCCCTCCTTGCACTTAGTTTCTTGTTTAGTTTGACCTCAAATAGTTGCATTCCAGGACAAGTCCGGAAAACATACAACACATACATGACTCAGTGGCCTGGCTGTCAGCAGTGCAAGAGACATCATACCACAGTGTGAAAATAACCTGTTATCCCCATTTCTCCGTTAGAAGAAATAAGTAAATCAGATAATATTAGACAGCAGGACAATAACTGTCAAAGATAAGCCATTCAGAAATTAACGTTCACAAAGGAGCTAACAAACAAGTGCACTTTAAAAGAAACACATCGTTTTCATGTACAAAAACAGAAATGCAGTATTTTTTCAGTACCGTGCACATCCCATGAATGCCACACATAGCATTCAGCAGTTGATGCAACATGCATGCACAGCCCTTAATCTGACTCTTTTGAAATCAGGAGCTGAATGCCAGCACAAAATGCACAAGAGTGTTATTAGCAAAGAGCCTGTGTATCATTAAGCTTCCCTGCACAGAATTACCAAATCTGCAACAGCTTATAAGCATATGGTTTGAACATCAGACTTCCCAGAAACATAAGTTCAGATCCTGGCAGGATCAACTCAGCCTGACAACCTTCTGCTGTAACAATACCTGCTTTTCTGCTCCATATTTTGATACATCTCTCAGAAAGGGCTCTCCCTTATGACTACAGTCTGCTGGGTTGCAATGCAACAACCCAAATCAGTTAACAGAATAGAATTTACAAGGGGCAGGGCTGAACGTGGAGTTACCTACAGCAGACTGAACAACACAGAAGCTGCTTTGCAAAAGGTGAGTAAGAACCATAATATAAAAGAAAAAAACACCATGAAATTGCAGCTTTTTCTGGGTGTAAGCTTAATTTAATCTTTGGGACCCTCTAGGAAGCTAGGGAGGCAGGTTCCTGTCGCCCTGTGATACTGTCAGCATAATTTGCCCAGTGTGGTACTCACAGTCACACTGTCACAACTACTGCCACTCATCGACATTTAAGAATTCTTGCAAATATGAAACCCTACTAAGATGGACACTTTCTGGGTCTGGTGGCGACAGCTCCAGTGAAGTCTATGAAATTTGGCCTCCATCTTCAAAAGCCAGCAGTGATCCCACCTTTTAGTGGGAATTTTTGTCATGCCATCAGCACAGAATCTTGATAAAGTCAAGAACTGCAATACCGGTATTCATTTTTTATGTAAGAAAACTAAGGTACCGAGACTAAAGGTAGCATGGAATGATTTGTCTAGTTGGCCAAAGTGAACAGCAATTACAAGGGAGCAAAGTACTGCAAGAATTGCTGAATTTCAACATTACAACACACTGAAATTTATCAGACTGTCACCCAAGACCTCAGATGCTTATACATTTTATATGCATACACTTAGGATATCTCTAACTTGTTTACTACTACATGAACACTTAATCACTCTTCGTGCACAAAAGATGTTTAGGCTGATGATCATAACGAAATTACAGAAATTTGCCCAGGTTGATTTTCAAGGATCTTTCTAACTGTAACACCCATAATGATGTGTTAGGCCTCTTCAGAGTAAAATATGAACAATTCCTTTGATTGGAACGTACTCTCCTTAATACCTCTCCATCAGAGTGAGAGGTTCCACTGAAATCTAAACATTTCTCTGAAATTGCTTCATTTCTATAAAATATTTTGGAAAATAATGTAAGCAACTGTCGGAGCATCCCATCCCCACACTTGTTTTTACATGCTTGATGGTTCAGGGATTTCTGAGGTTTGTGATGAGGAAATTCCTCCAACAACTTGAAATGAGGCTGCGACGGATGAAGGGAAGAATTTTACTTTGATAGCTTTTAAGTTATCAGCTTTTGCTCTGCTTTGGAATAACCAAAGACTGGAATCCTTCTAAGTTAGTTTCTGCTCTGTATATGAGCAATTACTCCTGTCTTCAGCTGTATATAAAATCCCCAACTATAATCAGAATTAAGCATATAGAAGTATTCCACCTATTGTACTGGACCCAAAGACTCCACATGGCTATGGTTTCACAGAAGACAACTGGAACTAGTAACAAAAAATCTTCCTGTAATTTTTCAGACTGCCTAGTTCTCATTACATACTTGAGGGACTCATATTTTCAGAGCTGCAGTACTTACATTCAACATCCTCTGCGCAGTCAGTTCTCATTTGAAAGAACAGCTGATACTTGTAACCCAGGGAAAGCAGCAACCACGTGAATCTGGTTAATATTACATGGTTCAAGAATCATAGAATCATAGAATCACCAAGGTTGGAAGAGACCTAAAAGATCACCCAGTCCAACCGTCCTCCTATTCCCAATAGCTCCCACTAAACCATGTCCCCCAACACAACATCCAGCCTTTCCTTGAACACCTCCAGGCTCGGTGACTCCACCACCTCCCTTGGCAGTCCATTCCAGTGCCTGACCACCCTTTCTGAAAAGTAATACTTCCTCATGTTCAGCCTGAATCTCCCCTGCCGTAGCTTGAAAACATTCCCCCTGGTCCTATCACTAATGGCACAAGAGAAGAGGCCGACCTCCAGCTCACTACAGCCTCCCTTCAGGAAGTTATAGAGAGCAATGAGGTCTCCCCTGAGCCTCCTCTTCTCCAGGCTGAACATTCCCAGCTCCTTCAGCCTCTCCTCCTATGGCCTGTGTTCCAGACTCCTCACCAGCTTTGTTGCCCTCCTTTGAACACGTTCCAGGGCTTCAATATCTTTCTTGCAGTGAGGGGCCCAAAACTGGACACAGTACTCGAGGTGCGGCCTCACCAGTGCTGAATACAGGGGAACAATCACCTCTCTGCTCCTGCTTGCAATGCTGTTTCTGATGCAAGCCAGGATGCCATTGGCCTTCTTGGCCACCTGGGCACACTGTCGGCTCATGTTCAGCCGAGCATCAATCAATACCCCCAGGTCCATTTCCTCTATGCAGTCCTCCAGCCACTCTGCCCCAAGCCTGTAGCGTCACCTGGGGTTGTTGTAGCCGAAGTGCAGGACCTGGCATTTGGCCTTGTTGAAACTCATTTCATTAGCAGGGGAGATTCAGGCTGGACATGAGGAAGTATTACTTTTCAGAAAGGGTGGTCAGGCACAGGAATGGACTGCCCAGGGAGGTGGTGGAGTCACCAACCCTGGGAATGTTCAAGGAAAGACTGGATGTTGTGTTGAGGGATATGGTTTAGTAGGAGCTGTTGGGAATAGGTGAACGGTTGGACTGGGTGATCTTTTAGGTCTTTTCCAACCTTGGTGATTTTATGATTCTATGATTCTCATCCCATTGGCTTCAGCCCAGCTCTCCAGCCTGTCCAGATCCCTCTGTAGGGCCTCGCTTCCCCCAGGCAGATCCACACTTCCAGCAAATTTGGTGTCATCTGCGAATTTACTGAGGGTGCACTCGATGCCCTCATCGAGGTCATCAATAAAGATATTGAAGAGGACAGGCCCCAGCACCGACCCCTGGGGAACACCACTCACGACCGGTCGCCAGCTGGATTTGACTCCATTCACCACCACTCTCTGTGCCCGGCCCTCCAGCCAGCTCCTTACCCAGCCAAGAGTGTATCCATCCAAGCCTCTGGCTGCCAGCTTCTGCAGGAGAATGCTGTGGGAGACAGTGTCAAAGGCTTTGCTGAAGTCTAGGTAGACCACATCAACAGCCTTTCCCTCATCCACCAGATGGGTCACTAGATCATAGAAGGAGATCAGGTTGGTCAAACAGGACCTGCCCTTCACGAACCCATGCTGGCTAGGCCTGATCCCCCGGTCACCCCGCACATGCCTCATGATCTTCCTCAAGACAATCTGCTCCATAACCTTCCCTGGCACCGAGGTCAGGCTAACAGGCCTGTAGTTCCCCGGATCCTCCTTACGACCTTTCTTGTAAATGGGAGTCACGTCGGCAAGCCTCCAGTCTTCTGGGACCTCACCAGTCAATAATAATTTGTCTTGTGGTTCAGCAATATTCATGTGTACTCATGAAAATGCCATTTCTGTACCAGCAAAGGTGACAAAGATGTTGATTCTGGGTTTCAAAAGGAGGGAAATGTCATCACCTAACACTTTCTTCTCACACATAGCGTTATGCCCAATGACAGCACAGCAGATCTGTTGCAGTGTGAGTAGAACACTGTTTTAAGGCCAAGCACATCACTGCTGTAGGGTCTACGCCTCTGGATAGGAGATGGCAGGGAAGAAAGAATGGGAGAGCCATGTGAACTCCAGCTTTTAAGTATGCTAACAACAGTCACTGCATCAGCTATTTATCTTCTGGCGATCACACAGATAGGATCAGACACCACTAAAATACAGTGCTGTTCATCAAGCAATGAAAAGCAGGCTAACCCAGCAGAAACAAGGGAGGAGGATCCAGCAGTACATGACTAGCTTTATGGGCCTCAGATGAGGAAGATTTGTATTTTATGCTTGAACTTGGAAGCCATATGCAACATACTCAAAGTTATTATCATAAGAGATCAATTTAGTTTACACAATAAAACTACGACTTGACCATTTGCTCTCCTCAACTGTGCATTAGAATTGAAATAACATACCTTCAAAAACTAACCACATCAGTCCTTGTTCATAGCTTTTCTATGCCTTTTGTCTGTTTTTAATTGCTCTCAAGATTTAAGCCAGAGGAAAAAAGCTGCAAGTCTGTTGAAGAAAGACAAGTTCGTGAGAAAACAATTGTAAGCGTAAAGAATCTCCCACCACTGCCACCACTCCCTTTCCATCGCATAATTCTGCACACTCAATGACAATTTAAATACATATATATATGAAGTGAACAGTCAGGAGAAATAGTGACTGATTAGAATTATGACTTTTATTTTTATTCACTAGAGCAACATTGAGGAAGGAATTTTTACATACAGGGTTTTAAATCAACTTTACAAGCAAATCCCAATATACAATATTTACTCTGGCCTGGGTAAAAAAAAAAAAAAAAAAAAAAAAAAAAAAAAAAAGAAAACCAACAAAACCAACCAAGCAAGGGTACCTCTTGTTTTAGCTAGTACTGAATTTAAGATTTCATCGACACTGGAATTATACTGTTTTTTATTATGATGCTTTTATAGTTGAGTAGGCAGCTAGAAGCTTTCCCACAACAGTGACTGAATTTCCTCAATAGTGTTGTTAAGATTACTATACTGAGGCCTACCACCAGAATCATGTACTAAATCCACTCTGCTCAGAAAAAGCCACTATAACAAGATAAGGAATAGTTACGGAAGCCCAATTCAAGAACAGAATGCCATTATGAATGGCAAGAAAATGTCCACAATAAGAGGATTATGTGCTGTGCAAAAACAAATACTTCTCCCCCCCCAACATGCAACCTACCCAATATGACATTTTAGAATAGGATGTGCATATGGTTGTGACATGCAAACAAAGTAAATCACGCAAATGGTAACCAGTTTTCCAGCATCATTACAACACATGGGCATTTAGATCGAGGATGAATTAAATCTTACTGAGCTATGGTGCAGTCTAGCTGCTACGTCTAACTTCGACTCTCACAGCAGTGAGTCTAAAGAACCCACCTTTCTCAGAACTACATGAAAAATTCAGTGCAATTTAGGATTTTCTGGGCTTTTGTGATTATTTGCAGGAATTCTAACAGTCAGTATTGCACTTTTTTTTTCTCCCCAGCAAAAAGATATGCTGGGATCATAATTTTTTTGAAGGGCTATGCTAGTCCTAAGAAAATGCTGCCTTTGGCCTAGATTGGCAAAATGAAGTGTTGGCTTCAGGGAAGCGGAAGGTAACTGGCTGCTTCAGCAGTGTTAAAACTCCACAGAAAATTTAAAGCCATTGCACAACAAAAACTCAGTACACTACATGACTATTTTCAAACATGCTAGAGTGCATATCAATTTTGTGAAAGTGATGTGAAGATATCTTGGAAACAGTAATACTAGCAGGGAAATTAGTTTCAAACAAAAGCCATACACAGCAGGAGGCATCTAGATTATTTTAGGCACAACTCCAAGCAATAAAGCTCATTTAAAGTGCAATTCTGTTTTTTCTTTTGTGTCTATTCACTTGTTAAAACATGTAATTGCCTCTGTACACACATACTGAACAGTAGTTCTAATACTTCTGTGAATACTGCACAAAAGAATAAGACATTAAAAAAATGCAATAATCTAAAAAAACCCAAAAATTTAAAGATATAAAATAATTTATGCATTTAGAACAATCTGCACAAGTACTGATTATATATCTGCACCTTCCATAAGGTAGATAAATTACCCGAAAATACTTACTTAATCCCATTCTACAAGCTGTACAAACACCCTCTTACCTGTCTCCCCCCCAACTCCTATCCTTCACCGAAGTGAGCCTTCAAACTTCACTTCACTGCTACTCTTCCCCCTCGCCTATCTGCTGACAGGCTTTGCTCATACTCTGGACTTACTATACATGCAACAGAGCCTTTCCTGGGAAAGTCAGAAGACCTAAATTACTTTACAGGGATGTGAGGTTAGCAGCTGAATACAAACAATTCAGACTAGCACCTGTCTCATCCGTGAGCAAATCCCAGTATCTCCAGCTCAATGTCTCTCTAATCTTCAACAGAACAAAAAGGAGAAGTGCTATTTATTAACATCAAAAAGTATAATCAATTTACGCCCCTTTAACAGGGAAGAAAAGCCACCGAATAATGTATTTTTGTTATTCTAAAAATAAAATGAAGAGCCACCTTCTGTATTCCAAAAATCCTAGTAATCTCTCTGCTTCGTTCCCAAGTTTTCAGTAAAGGTGCAGTCAGATGGATGTCTGTTCTTTTAAATGTAAACATACAAACTTTAACATCACTAAACCAGACTGGTGACAATTCCAGAATAAAAAGCAACAAAATTCATGGTGAAATATCCATCAGTTGGATTAAGTGAAAAGAATTATTATTATTATTATTATTATTTTACATAAAAACACATACAACCAAAAATAAAATCAGCCTCTCTTCAAGGAAAGTGAACATAAAAACCTTCTGCAGAAATCTATACGGACCAGAAAACAAACTGGGAACCTGACCATTCCCTTGGCAGTTTTTCAACTCTTGAGTAACAAAGTTAGCTGCCAGGAGCTCATTTGGGAAATATTCAAAAAATCATTATCAAAAGTACACGTTTACACTGAAGGCCATCTAATTCTATGCTCCGCAACTTTTTTTTTTTCCCCCTGGAGAGTATTTGTAACAGCCATCTTGAGTTGCATCTATTTTCATCTTGTATCAACTACAGCACTTACTGTTACTCATTCCTTCTAGGTTACATTATCCTCAACACAGCCCCTTCAATTACCAGGAAGTCCTGTAGGCCTCTTACTTCAGATTCTTAGAAGCAGTTCTGGAATGTAAGCCACCCCTAACTCCTTCCTCCTCCAAACCTCTCATTTTTCTATACTTTGACAGTTAGAAGAATTTACAGCACGATGAATCCAAACCTTTGGGGGACACTCATTATGTACCAAGAAATTCAAATTGCATGCATTTTCTTCATTTACCCATCCAACCAAGGTATCCATAAGGATATCCTGAGTTGAAGGGTTGATATAACACAACGTAATTGTGGAAAATATTTATGAAATGTCTATGCCCATTCACTTCATTTTCTCAAAGAAAATACTGCAATATGCCAATGTCCTAAGGCCAAAGCCTAGAACAAACTTTTACTATATTTCATTTTTCTGTCATCATATGCTGTACACAAACAGATCTTAAGTGAACTGTAACAGCCTTCTGCTGCTTATCTTAAAAACAACTCAAGAATAGAAAAAAAAAAAACCAACCCCAAAACATTAACATCTACTATTCAGTGAAGGGAAAGAGGAGAAAAGCAGATGGGACATCACATTAAGTTTCCAGAACACGTGACTGGATATGCATATATTCAACTCACAGCTCATGTGTTATGGTCCCAAGTTGCACCATGATGGGCACATTTCCACATCACTTTAAAAAAAAAATAACAAAAAAAAAAAAAAAAAAAAAACTTACCCTATAAAGCCGAAGAATGTTGATTTTCCTTTTTTATTTCCCCCCAAATGCTCCTTGCCAGTTATCATGCACTTCTTGAGTAATTACAGAAAAAAAAAATTTACAGAAAAACTCCCAAAACAAAATGCACATCTCTGAAAAACTCTTAGAGTACCAGCTCTCGATAAGGACAAATAAATTGGGTTAATTTATTATTATTTAAAAATAGTTGCTTTTTTAATACAAGTTTTATTACGTAAAATAGTTTCAAATCCTTACACATATGGCAAAATTTGTGCAAACGTTTCAAGTCAGGTACTTCAGAGTCTTTCAATATTAAACAGAAATCAATAAATACAAACAGTACAATAAAAGTTAAAATATATCCATTAAAATGCCTGTTGTGCAACCTCAACATAGGTGTTATGGACCCCTAATTCCCCTGGGCTCCTTACTTACCAATTCATAAGAGCCTGCATTGCAAGGTTTTGCACAAATATCCTTAGCACTACATTTTGAGAATCTACCCAGTAATGTGCCTATTACACAATAAAAACATACCACAATATCTTAACAAATGATGCTGTTTAAGAGAGAAGATCCATTTCACCATGTGAAACCTGTTGTCTGTGAAGAGTGAAAACTAGATAAATAAAGAACAGAGCAACTTCAGATTACAGCAAAAACAACACAAACCACTCAACCCATCCGATTAAATAACATTAAATATGTCAGTCTTCAGATAATGATAAATACGAGGATTTTTGCATAGGCCTCTGAAATACAGAGTCAGAATTATGGCCAATAAAACATCTGCTAATAATTCTAACTTTCTACCACTCTAACCTAACGAGTCCTCAGAACCAAGTAGTTAAACTGAATAAGAACCAAGAAGTTTAACTGAATAGTAATTTCATTGTCTAATTACTCAAGTTAACAGAGGTAAGATATCATTTCTGCCCTCCTGGAATACATAGTGCAGCATTCTGGTATTCACGGCCACCAGGCTTCAGTACCGAGATCACTGTGCAATACAATTAATACAGAATTACAATATAATTTAACACTCTCAAGAACTGCTGCACAGCTCGTAACGTGAGCTTCAGAACAAAAAAACAGAATATGCAAACACTAAAGGAAAACGCTCTTTTTGCTATTCACTCAGGCTGTAGATGAAACAGCCTCAATGGCCGTCAATACAGAGGAAGCAATTTAACATGTGACATCACCCAACGAGACGTAGGTATGTCCTCAATGTGTCTTTGGCTTAGGGAGGCGGGACTGCCGACTAGAGGGCAAACTGTCCCCAGAATGCAAAGCGGTGTTCTGTGTTTGCACATTTTCCTTTCTCTGCACTTGTGGCTTTGGGATGTTAGTTTTCAGACTGGTGCTTTGAGGCTCTTGAGACACCGACGTGGATTTCTGATTGCTCACTTGCTTAGATTTAACAAAGGATATAGTTGGTGGGCGAAGTTTGGACGCTTTCTGACTCTGTTTACCCTTCAGGTCCTCTGGACCAGACGTTGGCTGTAGTTGAGTCGAACTACTTGATGGTAGAAGCTCAGGTTCCTTGGAAGCAGAGGAATGATTTGCAGACCTTGCGAGTACGGCCATTGTAGGAGGCACTAAAGCAGTTGGGGGCTTTGCAATTCTTGAAGTCTTTGGCCGAGAAGCCTGGTACATGAACGAGGATTGACCTTTCACGGCTACCTCAGTCCGCACCTCTCTAGCATCAATTCGTGTAGAGGTCTGAAGACGAGAACATGATAGTAACATACCTTTTTTATCACTAGCCACCTCCCCAGGATCTTCAGTATATTTATTTTTCACATTTTCCAAATGCAACGTATTCTCATCTTTTATGCTTAATTGTGTGTTCACTGAAGTGTTTACGTTATTCAGGCTATTTCTCAGAGATATATTTGCAGCATTTTGATTCTGATGATTGCCATTTTCATGCACACCATGTTTAGAATATTCACTGGGGGCCTCGATATGTGGCATTTTTATTAGTTTTCCCTGGACGAGGTCTGTGGAACTGGGAAGGCTGCTGGAAGGCTGTAGTACTTGAGGCTGTAAAAAGAAAAGAATGCAGTAATATGTTAGGCAAAGAAAGCACCAGATAACGCTCTGAACCCCAAGTATGCTAATTGGATGCTTGGTAACAGCTGTATATCTTTTATAAAAGTAAAACATTTTACTTTGGTAAAATAGGATGGTTTATGGGACATGAACAAATGTGATTTGTAACTTAGGTGGAAAAAGTTAAACCAGTACTGGAATACATAACAATAACGACAAAAAAAAAAAAAAGTATAAAGTAAGAGACATAAAAAGATTTGGTTGATGGTTTTACCTTAAGTCTGCAGGACATCCTAACAACAACACAAAAATACTGTTTAAATTCTGATTTGAAATCCTTAAACAAATGCAACAGCTATCAGACTATCCATCTTCTAGCTTCTATACACTGTGTACTCAAATTAGCTACCCCAAAGCTTCCATCATTGCTACATACTGTACACACAGGAACAGAGCTTATATAAAATATATTCATTTGCATTAAGGTTTCCCTGTACTGGACAGTGGTTTACTTCTGATTTCCTTCACATGCAGAACAGTAAGCAGAAACAACAAACCCAGTGAAGTCCAGAGAATTATACTACATAGCTATAAACATGAGGAAGGTGTCCCTTTACAGTTCTCACCCAGTTTTCTGACACTGCATCTTTCTTTCCTCATGAATAGAGATAAGCCCCTTTGCTGGGTGAAATCCGGGACAGGGAGAGGACAGCCCAAGGGCAGCAGAAGTTCACAAAATACCACTGCTGGGGACTAAGCAAGCACAAAGGAGGGGAAGTAAACGAATTTACAGCACATTTTCTTTGCATAACTGATGCCAGAAAATTGGATACAGGTATGCTATAATTAGGTTACAGAATAGATGCAGCAAACTGCTTGATCTTGAAGTGAATTCAGATGGGCTGGTATAGAAATGATCTTCAACAAAATAGTATAACAAAGTACATGTTAAGCTAGAGATCACATAGTGCTACGCTAATAACCAAAGAGAGAAAAATAACAAAGACGTTGTATTTTGCCAGAAGAGACATTTTAGTACTGGACAAGAAAATTGCCAGTACTTCTTCTGGATCAGAAAGTGAAGTCCAAGAAGGACAGGTCATTTTTATGGATAACAGCAGTGCTTCAATTTAAATTAAGGTGTAAGGTGTAAAGTTTAAGCTTGCTTCCAACTACCAAGTGTCAAGAAAATACCTGTGGAGGGCAAATCACTGTGAGAATTCGGAGTTTCTTCATCAGGCTCTGAAACGTATGAATAAGCAGGTTTTGTCTCCACCAAATAGATACACCACAGCTCTCCTATTACTTCACAGTTTTGCTGCATATCCTTCTTTCCTCTGTCTACCTCAGATTCCCATCTGACTATGTAGAGAAAATGTTATGCACAGGGTAAGCTCTGGGGATCTACAATTCAGTCAGTATCCCTCCTGATACTTTTCATCCATAATAAATAACCATGCTAATATTCACCAGCAGTGCCTGTGAATGAGAGAAGCTCGCTCAGGTGGCTGGCACGGCCTTTTCCCTTGTATATCAATTGGCTTTAGCTACAGTCTGCTGCAGCCTCCACACACTGCATGAACCCTGCTGTGTCTCCCAGTCCAGTGCGAATCTGACACACTTCTCTCTCATACTTCTTCCACCTTTGGCTATGAACTGCATTGTGGCTACTGCGATTGCTGCACTGGTAGCGGTTAGGAGACAGAAACACAGAAATCAGAAAAAAAGGGGAAAAAAAAGAAAAATTATAGCTATTCCATGTCTGAGGTGACCTCACTGTCTGAACCACTGAGAAATTCTGCAGCACATTCAAACCTGACAACTCTGTCCATGGCAGTGTGTTGAAACTACATGATCTCTGATGTCCCTTCCAACCTGAGCTGCTCCGTGATTCCACAATTCTATCATTTGTATGTTTTCTTTGTTCCTTCCTGTAAAAAGACCTTAACGTGTACAAACACAAACTAAACCTTAAACCTGCACACAGGTCTTGGAAGAATTACTGAAGCCTGCAATGCATGGCAAACCCCAAAACCAATTAGAACTTAAACTATACTTTTTAACAAGCTTCAAGTTTGGGTGATTTTCTCATCTTCTTTATAAAGGAACTCAACTGCAACAAGCTAGTCCTATCCATGAAATTTGCTGAAACTACTTGAATCCTGACTAAATTATAGTGTGTATGCACATAGTCAACATGTTTAATGCATTTGCTTACAAGTAAAATACAGTCAGCATAATAGAAGCAACATTTGTCCTAAGGGATTTGAGTACAACTCTCTTCAGGCACTCTCTTGAATTATTATTCTCAGCTTCAAAATGTGAAACATTATTCATTCAGTCTTTTTCTTCTTTTCAGGTTTAGCAGAGACTATAATGATATCAATGCACGCTAAAATTCTATAATGTTTCTAAAACAAGAGCACGTTCCAGGATTCTTTAGATTTTCATCTTTCATCTTGTAATATTTCTACTGCAAACAGAATCCTCAGTCATCATAATGAGAAAAATTAATGGTAATGAGAGAAATACTGAGGTGCTTTGATCAAATTCCAATTTGCTAGCCACCTTTTTCCACATAAAATACACCAGTCCTTGTAAGAAAAGGCAACATCTAAGTTGGACCAGTGACATCAATACGTGAAGTGAGAAACACGTTGAACAGTCTAGAATCAATGTACTTTTCCATAACAACCTATTTTTTCTGAGTGCTGTCAAATGCAAAACCATCCTTCTTAATCAAGCAATCTTACAGGAAGTACTAAAACAAGAAGTAATTCTAAATTCTAAAAGTTACAGCTTTGTTTAAGAAATCCTACAGATATTAATGCTGTTTTTCAGAGTTTCTGTAATGGGTTACAGAAATTATTATCCTTCCAGCTTATGAGATGTTAGCCAAACTGGCTTATTGTTTTGAGAGCACACCTACAAAAACAAAACTGCTAAAAATGTGCACAGAAATCAAAGCAAAGCACATATTATTACTGTACAAATACTTAAATAACTGATTTTCTCATCTAATGAAGAAAAAAAAGTTATGTTTATAGCAAGTAATATTATGTCGAGTTCAAATATGTACACAACACCAAAACCTTTCCTTTCTCCTGGAAAGGGCTTCTAAATGCCAGTCTTAAAAAATGCAAATTTTTCCTGACACTACAAATCCTAACTTAGAAATTAATTATGCTAGTTATACTAATCAGAAAAAAATTAACTTGCTGAAAAAGAAAGTTAATAGAAACAACAGAGAAACAAGCCTTTGATAATGCTGTTATTTCAAGGTTTTTGACAGTAGAATAGGTATTATTTAGAGTTTTTAATTTGGACTATTTTGCATTAATGCTTTATGTAGAAAAATAGCCAAATACATCCCTCCCTTGTTACCTTTCATAATCTGAAAGGGTACAAGCAACATAAGATCCATGAGGTTCATAATTCAAACAGAAGACAGGTATGTGCCCAAAATTACAAAGATGGCACTAAAGATATTATATCATTTTTGCAAAGTTTTTTTTTTAAATACTGCACTATTTCCTAACTTCATATTTCCACTTACTCAAAGTCTGGTCAGTTACCAGAAATACAGATTATCTCAAGTTGCTACATATCTAAGATGGCAATGAAAGTAGAAAACCACTTCCAAAACATGCAAGTTCCTGTTCATGAGGTTTTAACAAATTATGACTAAGCTATTAGTCTAAAAGCCAGTAGAACGCTGCTTGGTGAAATCTGCCACAAGGAGGAAGAATTAAAAGATAACAAAGCATTTCCCCTCCTATGAATAATACTTCAGTTCATAGGACTCCTAAAAATTTGTCACCTATCTTGCTTTAAATGCACGAGACAGTATTTCAAGGAGATGGACCACGACTTGGTGGAGACTGTCATGCTAAGATTTCTTCTTTTGTCCAAAGAAAAAAAATCCAGGGAGGCAAAACCACCTACATTCCTTTCTGATGTTCCTGGAATGTAAAGTTTGATGCTCAAACTTATTTCTAGTATCACATAACTGAGGACAGCTAGTTCTCCTCAGAAAGTATAGCAGACAAAATGCTTTGTGAACACACTGCAAGACGAAGAAAAGGAATTTTCTGTAGGGGCAAAAGCTTCAACTGCTTGGATATATTGATGCACCAATCAAGATCATTCAATTGGAGTTCCTATCACATCAGCCTCGGGGATTTTTCCTTGTTTCTCTGATCATCTATTGAAAAATGCCAACAACATCCATGAATAGGTTTATCATTAGTATAAAGGTATTGAACCACTGAGATAGTTTTCCGATGCAAAACTAATGAAGATGTAAATAAGCATGTTATACTGATAAGCAGTTATGTCAATGCAGTCATAACAGTTACAGGCACTGCACTATCTCTACTTTAAAATTCACTTCATTTTTGCTTTGGTTACTGTTTCTCCAATCTGAATACCCATCTCAACTACCCATACAGTATCTCTGCAGAACTAAATATAGACATTTTCTCCCTGCAGTAATTTGAGAAACAAAGGAAATGAAGGAATGAGAAATAAAAACCACATGCACATCTCCAATAGACATGCATCATGCATAGGGCAAAAGAACAACAATAAAATGCGTGAGGAGGAGATGGGAAGAAATCTGAAGTTGTACTGTACCACGCTTTATCACAGAAGTAATGGACTAACTTCTCAACTCCTTGCCAATGGCATAATGGGAAAGCAGAGACAAGAAAAAGACAAGGACAATGATGTCAGAGGACCAAGACAAAACATTGAGCAATTGCCATGACAGAACTGCAACTTTTCATCATTTAAATTGCAATTAGCACATCCCACATTTGTTTTTCACCCATCTTCCAGAAATAAAGACAGCAATAGTGTTTAAGTAATGCAGCACAAACCATGTTTACAGCAAAATCCACATGGAATACCTCTGTTCTTTTAACTTCAAGTCTTTAGCACGTTTAATCTCTTACACCTCAAATACCCTTCAGAATATTAACCAGCATTTG